GTCCATAGCCATATTCCCAAGGCTGTCCATGGCCATAGTGCCAAGGCTGTCCATAGCCATATTGCCAAGGCTGTCCATAGCCATATTGTAAATTCTGTCCATAGCCATATTCCCAAGGCTGTCCATGGCCATAGTGCCAAGGCTGTCCATAGCCATATTGCCAAGGCTGTTCATAGCCATATTGTCAATTCTGTCCAAAGCCATATTGCCAAGGCTGTCCATAGCCATATTGTCAATACTGTCCATATCCATATTGCCAAGGCTGTCCATAGCCATATTGCCAATTCTGTCCATAGCCATATTGTCAATTCTGTCCATAGCCATATTGCCAAGGCTGTCCATAGCCATATTGCCAAGGCTGTCCATGGCCATAGTGCCAAGGCTGTCCATAGCTATATTGCCAAGGCTGTCCATAGCCATATTGCCAAGGCTGTCCATAGCCATATTGCCAAGGCTGTCCATAGCCATATTGCCAATTCTGTCCATGGCCATAGTGCCAAGGCTGTCCATAGCTATATTGCCAAGGCTGTCCATAGCCATATTGCCAAGGCTGTCCATAGCCATGTTGCCAATTTTGTCCATGGCCATAGTGCCAAGGCTGTCCATGGCTATATTGCCAAGGCTGTCCATAGCCATATTGCCAAAGCTGTCCATAGCCATATTGCCAAAGCTGTCGATAGCCATATTGCCAAGGCTGTCCATAGCCATATTGCCAAGGCTGTCCATAGCCATGTTGCCAATTCTGTCTGTGGCCATAGTGCCAAGGCTGTCCATAGCTATATTGCCAAGGCTGTCCATAGCCATATTGTCAATTCTGTCCATAGCCATATTGCCAATTCTGTCCATAGCCATATTGCCAATTCTGTCCATAGCCATATTGCCAAGGCTGTCCATAACCATATTGTCAATTCTGTCCATAGCCATATTGCCAATTCTGTCCATAGCCATGTTGCCAAGGCTGTCCATAGCCATATTGCCAAGGCTGTCCATAGCCATGTTGCCAATTCTGTCCATAGCCATATTGCCAATTCTGTCCATAGCCATGTTGCCAAGGCTGTCCATAGCCATATTGCCAAGGCTGTCCATAGCCATGTTGCCAATTCTGTCCATGGCCATAGTGCCAAGGCTGTCCATAGCTATGTTGCCAATTCTGTCCATGGCCATATTGCCAAGGCTGTCCATAGCCATATTGCCAAGGCTGTCCATAGCCATATTGCCAAGGCTGTCCATAGCCATATTGCCAAGGCTGTCCATAGCCATATTGTCAATTCTGTCCATAGCCATATTGTCAATTCTGTCCATAGCCATATTGCCAAAGCTGTCCATAGCCATGTTGCCAAGGCTGTCCATAGCCATGTTGCCAAGGCTGTTCATAGCCATGTTGCCAGGGCTGTCCATAGCCATATTCCCAGGGCTGTCCATGGCCACAGTGCCAAGGCTGTTCATAGCCATATTGCCAAGGCTGTCCATAGCCATATTGCCAATTCTGTCCATAGCCATATTGCCAAGGCTGTCCATAGCCATGTTGCCAATTTTGTTCATGGCCATAGTGCCAAGACTGTCCATAGCTATATTGCCAAGGCTGTCCATAGCCATGTTGCCAAGGCTGTCTATAGCCATATTGCTAAAGCTGTCTATAGCCATATTGCCAAAGCTGTCGATCGCCATATTGCCAAAGCTGTCCATAGCCATATTGCCAAGCCTGTCCATAGCCATGTTGCCAATTCTGTCCGTGGCCATAGTGCCAAGGCTGTCCATAGCCATATTGCCAATTCTGTCCATAGCCATATTGCCAATTCTGTCCATAGCCATATTGCCAAGGCTGTCCATAGCCATATTGTCAATTCTGTCCATAGCCATATTGCCAAAGCTGTCCATAGCCATATTGCCAAGGCTGTCTATAGCCATGTTGCCAATTCTGTCCATGGCTATAGTGCCAAGGCTGTCCATAGCTATATTGCCAAGGCTGTCCATAGCCATATTGTCAATTCTGTCCATAGCCATATTGCCAATTCTGTCCATAGCCATATTGCCAAGGCTGTCCATAGCCATATTGCCAAGGCTGTCCATAGCCATATTGCCAAAGCTGTCCATAGCCATATTGCCAAGGCTGTCCATAGCCATATTGCCAAGGCTGTCCATAGCCATATTGCCAAGGCTGTCCATGGCCATAGTGCCAAG